CTCTTGAAGTGTATAATCATATACTTTCCGTGATTGGAGTCGATGGACTGCGCCGAGACTTGCCTGTATGGACACCAGGCCTGCTTCCATTTTTTCAAAATGCCGCAACTTCTGTGAAACCGGTGCTTCTTGACATATTTGAACGGTATTATATCCAGTTGAGCGTTGATCTGCGGCCTGTAACTCGCGCTCTTCTATTGTCTTTGCTTCCAGGTCTTGAAGAAGAGTCCAGCGAGTCGTTCGACCGGGTTAAATCCATTTTGAATCAGATCGCGACGTCGGTTGGCAGGCCCTTCTTCCTGCAGAATATTTGGCTAGTGATGATTACCTCTAGCAGCACCAGACTCAGTGCGTTGAACTATCTTTCGCATCACATGCCCAAGCTACATGGAATGAAATTCGATGCAGATATCTCCACTGATACCACAGCAACCACATCTTTCGATCAAGGAAATGACGAGGGTGTACCGATCACTGACCTCCGGCCTGACCTGCTCGTACATGGTTTTGTACACACACTTGGTGACGACTCGCTTCTCGTTCGTCGAAATGCTCTGGACTTTCTGGTGCTAAATCTACCTTTGGCTTCACAAGCTTTTATAGAAATCAGACGCAGTGATCGTGTTTTGCTGATCGATGCAGCGATCGGAGCAGTACTGAGACGCGACATAAGTTTGAACCGCCGTCTATACGCCTGGTTACTAGGGACAGGCGAAACGGACGAGCAACAACAAGCATATTTTGATCAATATGCTTTGGCATACGTCTCAGATGCATTGCGCAACAGTATGAAAAAGCGCACTGATGATACCTCTGTACAGCAGAAACCCTATAGAATCATGGTCTCCATGATGGACAAGGGTGTGATCGGGCAGCTGCTCCAGAAAAACATTATCCTAGAAGCTCTTCATTCCTTGGTTCAAGATACAAATCTCAATGCGAATTCAGACCTCTATCCTACTGCACAGATGCTTTTCGAATCAATCAATCCATATATGCTCTACCAGCAACTTTATTTTGCCATTGAGAAAGAATTGGATGAGCCTAGTGGTGCTGCTCGATATGGTTCGGCAATCCAACTCTTTCAAAAAATTTTAGTAACTTTTGACCATCACGATGAAGAAGCATTATCCATACATTTACCTGCATTATACTTTTCATTACTGGAGTGGACAAAAGACAAAGCTATCGCAAGGGCAAATCCGCCTACGAAAGTACTCGAGATTTTTTCCCTTTTAGAGAAGATTCAAAAGATTTTGCCCGCGCGAATCTATGTACAACTCTCATCGTCGACCATGAAACCACTAGGTTATGCTGCAACCTATTTATATGTGGATAACGGCCCCCTAGATAGCCTAGCCACGTTCCAGGATCAGGGGCAATATGCACTTATGCTCAAGACACTCTTTCAGCTTGGCCTCGATACTGTTGCGAGCAGTTCGTGGGATGCCAAGTACCGGCATCAGGTAAGCTCGGTCTGTTTCCGAATGTTACTCGAGAATATCAAGCGGCTTGATGCAGCGCGTGATTCTCCAGTGGCAGGTGATGATGCTTCACAACCAGAAGCACTTCCAGCGGAACTATTTGATTTGGAACCGTGGAATGATAAGGCGGTGGAGTATCTGGTGCAGTCTACTGACTTTGATCTTTTTGCAACATTGCTCAATATCATCATCAACATAAATGAGAGTAAGAGTATAACTACAAATTTTCGCTGTAGCTATCAAGACATTCAACGTATGTTGCTTGCACTCTTGCGATTTATGCAGCCGGATCAATTCCAGCATCATCAACAAGCTGTCGATCTGTTTTATGCATTACGTGCATTGTCCTCGAACGACTATGTTTCCAGCATATTAAACACTCAAGTTCTAGAAGACAATGCTCCAAAGCTTACTTTGGCTGCATTCGGTACTCTGTGGCGGATCAGTGAGCAGCAAGGTAGAGCTCAGGGGCTATTCAACTGCATTCTTCTAATATTAGACGGAGCTCGTTCAGAAGACGTTCTGAAGCAGCGTACAAGCAAAGCGTGGCTGCAGACATACGTAACTAATTATGCTTCATTGCTGAACCTTATTCTGGACCGCATATGTGAAATAGCAACCGAGTGTGCACCGAAGTCATTCAAGGTGGCAGATCAGTCGGTGCAAATCAATGAGTATAAGGTGCCATTTGACCAAGATGTGCAGAACTACTATCTGCAAACACTGATCACCATTCTTGCCCAAGACGGTCCAAAGTTAGTTCAATCTATGAAGACCACTATGCGAGGAGATAGCTCAGTTCTAGATGCGTTGAGTTCGCACCTTATCCTATTACTGCGTTCTTTACCAGCACGCAGCGAGGGATTCTCCGCAGGAAATGAAGCGTCGCACACCCTCTGTCTTGAGATCATTGAGCAAATTCTTCTCTCGGGCAGTGTCGACCTTGCATGGTGCGCAGACTTGCAGCATCACCTCACCGACGCACTGCTTGTTGCTTTGGAGCGACGCGAAGCTATCACACAAATGGCGCTTCTAGCGACTATCTATCGTGTGGTCCATAAGCGATGGCATAAACTTGATGCAGATGCTCGCATAGCATTAGTCGACCTGGCACGACAGACGCTTGGCCGGGCACCAGACACTACAACGTTTAACGCCTGCACGGACTTTGTCAGTAAACTGCTTGATCTTGGAAAAGAGCAAACAAGTGTCGTTACGCTGCCATTGTGTATGCATGTTGGCGAAATATTAGCTAGTACCTTGAAACAACTGACAAACTCTGAAGGAGATATCGAATGGCGTAATGCATTTTTACCGACGCGCTTAGGAGCTCCAGTCAGAGTCCCTGACAGTGAATATGAGGTGGACATGATGATCCGCGTCGTGGAAGGCGCGCTGATGTATGCATTAGCCATGCGAGACGGCAATGATACTGAGCGACAAACGGATATTGAGTCGAGTGCTGCCACCGGTTTCTTAGGAAACATATCGAGTGTATTCTCCAGCGACACAGCGCCTAATCCTGGGACATCATCTCCTCCAAAAGTCCGTGTAGCATCTCAAGTTCTTCAGATACTAATCTACGTTTGGGTCTCCTCAAGGGGACCTGAGCCTTCTCAAGTAACGTTGCCTTCCATTTTTGAGCAAGTAACCAAGAGTTTAGATCGTATTCATCACCGCCATTCATCAGCCGTTTTGGAGGCTGCTTTAGAAAATTGGTGGAATCGGACGACAGGGGACTCTGACCATCCAGCAGCGTCCTACGTCCATCAAAACACGATATCCTTGCTTGACTACCTGACGGGAAGCCCCCAAGTGCTTGTATCTTCTCTTAGCGATGCCCTCTCTTCGCGTGTTGCCCTCAATTCCGACAATAAGAAAATCGGCTCGAAAGACTTGTTGAGCGAGATGGTAATTTTTCAATTCTTAAACTTATATCTTGACCAGTTGAGCAAAGAGAGCATTGTGGAAGTCTGGCCGCTGCTGTCTCTTCTCTCTAAGAATATTTCCAATGCACATGCAGCAAATAAAGCACTGATATTCCAAACTCTACGTATCATGGCGATCGCTGGCAACAAACTGGCTTCGTCTCAGGCGTATGAAGAGCGACGGACAAGGCGAGACTTCCAAGATATTTACATCCGACTTTGCGAGCAAACTATATCCTTATATGCACGAACGCTCGACGTCAGTGCAGCGAGGCGCAATGCAAAAGACAGTGATGCTGCATCAAGTATGGATATACCTCAGGATGCTCAGAAATCTACAGGGCAAGCTGTAACATTAGTGCCACATCCAAGTCAGATTGTGTCATTCTTCAGCTCCTCCGTACTTCCGAATTTGGAGCACCTTGCAATTGATTCAGACAAGACCCTTGCAATCTGTACGAGTCTAGTGTATTATGTAGTCACTCCAGGATTCAAAGGCAGACAGCGGCCGGTGGATATCGACCAACAGGTGTTGGACATGCTGTGTGTTCTATGCAATGTATCTGGAACCGTCAAGACATGGAGAGGCATTGTGACGGATGTATTCATGGATTCAAGATTCTTCCTACTGCCCCCTACAGTTGGAAAGCAATGGACTACGATGGCTGCTGCACTGTATGGAAAAGAGCGCGATCGTCTCGTTGACATCATTGGTCGCATCTCAAATACCCCGACAAACAATTTGTTCACTTCGAGAGAGACTGACCTGATGTACAGAGCAGTCAGCATCCGGCGACTTTCCTATGCGATTTATTCGGGCTCACGAGACCAGTTCCTAGCACAACTGCCATTAATTCAGGAGAAAGTGGTGGATATTCTTCGTTCAAACGCTCCCGAGCTTGTGCAAATTGAAATATACCTTTGCATGCGTATATTGCTCTGTCGTTTCGCATCACAGCATCTTGCGGGCTTCTGGCCAGTGATCCTGACTGAATTACTTAGACTTTTCGGTAAGGCCAGAGCTGAGCTGCCGAGGGACCAAACAGATGCAATGCAGTTGCTTTTCAGCACATCCAAACTAGCTGACTATTTGCTCACTCTTCAAACCGAGGACTTTCAGATTCATCAGTGGCTACTTATTTCAGACACTCCCGATGCCATCGACCCACCAAAGGAATGGATTCCTGACTCGCTGCTCGATTGTATTGGGAGAATGGCCGCCGAGCACACGGGTCAAGTCAGTGTGGATCCTTTTGAGATCAAGCCTGGATCTCTCAGGAAACCAATACTTCAGATCTCGCGAGCTGACGATATAATGTCACTCAAACCATTCTTTCTCTTTGTCTCAAAGACAACCTACAATGACCAAGTCGAATCTTCAGGTATCGATTGGATGAACATCAACGAGGATCTACTCAAAGATCTATTTGAGCCAATAGTGATCAAATCATAAGATTCAGTAGGATGTGCAAGTCATAAAATCGAAATTGAAATACAGTATACCGGCAATGAATCAAGCGGCTCTATGCCGCTTTTTGAGATTTAATACGACTTGTTATTTTCTCCACCAAAACACTGAGCAAAAATTTGACCAGCACGGGGCTCGAACCCGCAACCTCCTGATTCACTCGGTTTCAACCTTCGTAGTCAGACACACTACCAATTGTGCTAACCGGCCAGATTTACGAGCCATCCAATACTTTAGATTATATATTTACGAATTCCGATCTCCTTTAGAATTTCATTTTCACCCGACAGTGTTCAGCACGACTTTGAATCAGTCCTATGTAACGACTTTGTTGGTTTCTAATTTTGTCATAGTATTTTCTTTTATGGCTCATTGAAAATATCAGCTCCTTTAACGTCCCAGGACGAGTCATTCTGCGCGACCTTGCTCCTAATTTGGAAGTATTCACGCTGGTCATTGCCCCCATATACGAATTCCGGCTGGTCTTCTGTCGCATTGCTATTGTGATGGAACCATTGCGGGAGATAATCTTCTCCTTCATCCTCCATCCTTTTCCTGCGTTCGCGCTGTTTGTTCTCTAGGCTCGCCTTTAGACTCTCAGCCTGGTCCAAGTTACCTTCTTCCAAGGCACGCTGATCAGGACGCAGGCGTGAATCTGTAGGAGGCAGAACACCGTCTAAATCTGGAGTAATCTGATTGAGTGAAAGAGCAAAGTTTGTGAATCCATAGTATTTCGATGGATTGGACGGCATAGGCGCAGCTTCCCAGAGTACTTGTAGATGGTCCTTCTCCGTTTGCCTTGAGAATTGTTCGTCCCATTTGCCTTTGAATTGAGTTATGACCTTATTGTTTGCATTATACATAGTACCTGCAAGATGATTTCGCGAAGAAGCACCTCCCCACATGCTCGATTCTTTGAATTGGATCACGACACGCATCTGGCTCGTCAACTCTGTTACGACCAGCTCGCCTACGTGCTCAAGGTATTTATTCCCTGCTAACAGATTGCGCATGAATGAGCTTGGCTTGCTGATTGAGTATTGTTCGCCGGTATCCAGCTCAATAAGCTGTGAACCTTCGGTAATCAACTCCAGTGATTTGCCCCAGAATTTGTTCTTGACTGTCCCACAAGAATGAGCCTTCCATCCTTTTCCATATGCGTAAGCAGCCACGATCGGCGGACGGTGTACCACTTTCTCAGCAACAAAGTGTAAGTCTCGATCGGCGCGAATACATTCATACGTTTCGCCGAGCAAAGGGTTGAAAGGTTTACGGATAGATCTTTGAGCTGTTGAAGCATAGCCACTCACAGCGAACGCACTGACAAGAGAAAGTCGTTCTACATTGTCTTGCGACGAAGCAGCTCGTTCTAATAAGCTGGGAGCATATTCATATTCCTCAGCCACGGCTTGTAACAAAGACAAGGGACAATTGAAAGACACAGGGAATGAAATGGTGGAAAGATCTTTACCGACATTCTTCTTCAGCATACTGAACAAAGATACCTCTTCGCCTGTAACTGGTGCTGGAAGACTTTCGCGGTATTGGATTTCTTGTCCTGAACTTCTCGTACCATTAGCGGCCGGCATTGATCCCCGTTCTTGGGGTTCATCAGTATCGCTGCTTCCCTCGCTGTCTTGATTGCCTTGATCGTCGTACCCTTGACCTAGTTCTTCTTCGATGTTGTATTCTGCACCCTCCATATGATCGTTCGCGTCGTAAAAGTCGGCATCGTCACCACCGGTGAAGGATGACGCAGAGGATCCAACAATCCCCCCCGCAATAGATGTGCGCGGCGATGCCAATGGGCTTCCTGCGGCGGAGCGAGCCGCCCAATCGCCGGAAAATCGATTGGTTGTTGCAGCTTGGATCTTGGCAAGCTCTGATTGGAGTTCAACCAGCTGATTTAGCACAGTATTGATTTCAGCAGATTGCGAAGAGGCAGGGATTTTGCGGAGCTGCTCGATGCTCGAATTCACTAGCTGATCCGCTTTGCTACCGGGTTGAGTCGGAGCGCTGTCATTGCTCTGAGCTGTTACGAGCTCATCAGGTTGGTAGTGAAGAAACTTTCTCAGCACAGTACGCCATTGCGCAAAGTCATCATCGCTTAACATTTTCAAATCTAAAATCAGTTTCACAACATACGAAAAACGTTCGAGCCACTGTCAACATGAATCGTGCCTGGAATCAGATAAACACTGCTTACCGTGCCGGATATCGGAGCTCATGCTTGCATGCGGGACTTCAATGATTCCTCGAGGTTTCTTTTCCGGGTCTAAGGAATAGACCAGCGTCCCATCCTCATATAGCACCAGCCATCTCTTGGCATAACCTACATCAGATTCGTTAGCTACTCACCTTGCATTTTCTTCTTCTTCTTCTTCAGTACCCATCCGGAATGATGTATTGCTTTTTTGTCGACCTCCATAGCGTCCCAATACAACGATCCGCTTCCAGTGTGAAAGCTGACAAGTCGAAGTGGGGTACCGAGTACCCTGCGGTAATGATTATCTCAGCACATTGAATTCGTTGAATAAATTCTTGAGGTGTGGGGAAAAGCTAATGCGGACAGAAGCTATGTATAGGTCATCACTCCGGGGAAGGTCTTAGGTATCATGTCTCAACGATTGGCTACTTCATTTTGAAGAACAGCCTCGGCATACATTACTTTGTAGCGAACTAATTCCTCAGCCATCTCTTCTTGTGAGAGTTTCGACATCACGACCCGCTTGACAAGGTCGACGTGCTCTGAGCTAACTTGATTCAGCTGTTCTTCGAGGGATTGTACCTTGAGACGCAGGTTGCGGTTCACCATACGCAGAGCCTCCATCTCAATTGTACGCTCATTAGCAGATTTGGCCTGATCATAGAACTCGTTTGCTAGGGAATCCAAAGTGAAAGGCGAAATCTTAATTGCAAACGCATCGTGAACCAACTCATTGATTCGCACACTAGGTTTTGTAGAAGAAAGAGACTTGTCTGCATCGGCCTGTTTTAGAAGAGCAGTACATACCATATAAGCGTCCAAGAGATTCAGTTTCAAGTAATTCAAGCATTCTTCAAACTCCAACGTTAGTAGTCTGCTTTCGTTTTTGTGTAAAAGGGCCAAAGCGAAGCGGAACATGGCTTCAATCCCCTCGGCAAAAACAGAATCCAGGATACGATACACTACTTCCAACGGGAAGCGATACGAGCTGCGTAAGAAAAGTAACATACAAGACTGGGTTAGTAGGTGAATAAAGACGTACGTGTCATAAACCATTGACTGGCATACATGCTGCTCTTAATGCCCCGACGCACAAAGTGCATATGAAGCAAAGGCTGGTTTTCTTCAATGAGTCGATCAAATTGGTATAGGCGCAGCTGCAACGAGGGCATATTTGGGATGAAGTGGCCTCGCAAGTCATAGTTCTGCATAAGTCGCACGAGCGTGCTGAATGCCTCTTCATCTGGCATATTAAGCAAGAGAGACCCGACAATGAATTGCATTCCTTGGCAATAGCCACACTCCGGATCAAATAGCGAGTATGCTTTGACCACATTGAAAAGCTGCTCTTGGCCGACGCCTTTAGCGTCTTTGAAATATTCCTGCGCTGGGAAAGTTCGGTTCAAATCACGACGAATCGCTCGATCATGTGGGCCGGGCAACGCAAGATACTTTGCGTATTGTGCCTCGAGTTCTTCATCCTTACTACTACTTAATAACTGCCACATCATTCCACGAAGCTCCGCTGGGATTCCGGAATAGATCGCTTTGCTGAGCTCCACGGGACTAGTTGTCAGGATGGTACTGTAGTTATTGATCAGGTTCCCCCAGTATTCCCAGTCAATTGTCTCGGCAGGGTCTTCGCTCGCGTTAGATTCGTCATTAGATGCATGCTTCTCCACCATTCTTCCAATTCCAAATTCCTCACTTCTTGTCCCTACACCCTCTGCTTCATTTCGTAAACCCGTGCGATTGCGCTGTTGAAGTCTCTCAAAACTCTCGCGTAATTTGCCGATGCCTAACGCAGATCGACGCATAGCACGCGGATCTTGATTCAACTTGCGGTTCTGTGCTACCATTCGAGCAAGTATCAAGTCATATTCGGAGTCGTTGATCTGCTCAGCTTTTTGATTGGTCGCATGATGTCGTAGAGCGAATTGCGGGGGCTTTAAATCGGTCAAATGCAACTTGTTTGTATTCAGCACTAGACCACCGAGCTCAGATTCAGTCTCTGATTGCTCTGAAAATGGGTTCTTGATAAATTCATTCGGGTCAAGGATCGATTCTGCACCAAGTGAAGCTGGGACAGGGTCAGAGTGTGTAGCAGACGCGACTAATGCTTTCGCTACTTCAAGGTCGAGAGGCTCGCTTGGATCACTTGATTCTGCCGAAGCATCTTGCGTTTGACGAATGACTGCGGAAGAGAGTCCTGCAGTCACCTTAGGACTCCGCTCGGTGATCATTGTATGAGTAGAGGTGTCAGAATCGTCATCTTCCTCAGTCTCTTCTTCATCCTCATCATCATCATCATCATATTCTTCATCGTCATCATCGTCCACGGATTCTCCTTCTTCATCCTCGTCATCATCGGAAAGAGTGGAAGAAGTCACAGCGCTCTCTGTCTCCGTCTCATCGGAGTCGTCAGTCTCTTCCGTCTCATCAGTGTATTCCGTAGAGTTATCGCCGTCAAGAGTACTGCGATCATCCTCCTCTGCAACAACTAGACCGGAGGAACGTCGCCTGCTTTGCACGCTATGCACAGCTTGCTCCTCTGCTCCTCTGGTCTTGCTGTCATTCTGGGCCATGACGGCTGTTCGAAGCAATACTCCACAAGATGCACTCGCGCGAAGTTTATGCAGGCTAGCACTGGTATCGAACGAAGCTTTTGCGGGGATACAGCACGTGACCTCTACACGAGCGGGGGCTGGTGGCGATGAAGGTTCCACGTCATTCAACCCAAACATTGTATTCAGGCAACCACTTAAGGCTGAGCCACCTTTGTTAGTGCGCACAAGAGGTAGTTGGGTGAACGCATTGAAGATGGCTACTATACAATCGCCAGCGATTGATCCTTCGGTCCTTGTGCGCTCTGCATCGGTCGGCACGCCGACCAACTCGAGTGTCTGTGTCGGTGCCAAGCGGCGCGCGCACCAAGCCGAACTTTCGGACTCAACCTGTTCATCGTCTTACTCTTCTTCCCTTTCAAGTGAAGAAGAAAAGAAAG